CTCTTTTCCTCCTTTTACCAAATCAGCATTCTGTGAACATGAGCTTTGCTTGCCTGAAAACATTGCAAGTTTCTCCTGCATCCACAGTGATTCTTTCTTGTTTTATACAAAATGACTCCAAGGAATGTTTCCAGCCAGTGTGTCCATGTGTCAAGAAGCTGAAAGAAATTTTACATGATTCGTTAAAGACAAGGCTATGAAAGCTTATGGGTAGCACCATGTTCCTCTCTTTAATTAGAAGAGATGAAAGGATAGGGTTTATGTACCTGGAATTCTTTCATGAAATGTGCTATACGATATTCAAGTTAAATGGGTATTGCAAAGTTTAACATTCTGAAATTTGGACAAACTTTAATTGGCTGGTCCATCTTTTTTTTTTCAATCTATGTTTCCGTAGTTGTAGGATATGAGAGTTAAGTTGTTTCACAGATTTGTCATCTAAATCTATTGGAGGTCATTTCTTGGAACTTAACAAATGAATGTTGAGTCACTTTTCCTTTCTCTTGCTGTTAAGAGCAATATGTACTTACTCTTTTTCACCTTATAGGTACAAACATTTTTCTTTCAGTAATTTATCCTAGAAATATGTACTGAGGTAAAACTATGAGGGATAATTATGTGTGTTAGATACAGTCTCTGCCCGTCCAGAGCTTTCAGATTGCTAACATGAAGCATAACTATACTGTATATATACAATACTGTACTAATAACTATACTGCAATGTATGACACACTAAGAAGAAACAATGGGAATACGTTCGGTGCTCAGAGATGGAAGAGATACACTTTGGCATTTCAGCTCAGCCCAGTGGACCAGATGGAGGAGGACAGGTGCAGGAGCACTCCAAGCAGAGAGAAGGCAGGAGCTGGGGAAGGGTGGAGGGAGCTGAGAAAAGCATCCTATTAGGCTAGAAAGAAGTGGAAGTTAGGTGAGGGCTTTTGAGCTGTGTTCCGTGGGCACCAGAGAGTAGTGACCATTTTGTGTTTCAGCTGTGATGGAACAAAAGTAGAACTATGCTTGAAAATGTTGTCTCAGATTTTAATATAAATTAAGTTCACCAAGGGAGTTTGTTGAAGTGCAGATAGAGGTATAGTGGATGGGTTAGTCAGCTTTCTGTTACTCTAACAAATACTTCAAGTAATCAGCTTAAAGGGGAAAAGGTTCACTTTTGCTCACCGTTTGGGAGCTTCTGGTCTGTGATTGGCCCAGGCTGTGATGGCTCGGCATAGTAGGAACGGAAGTATATAGTGGGGGCGGGGGGAAACCCAAAGGGAGGCAGGGAGTGGAGCCCTGCCATGCTCCTCAGGGCACACACCCAGCAACCCGTAGACCTCCCGCGAGGCCCACGTCACAAATGTTCCGCCACCTTCCACTAGGCCACGGGCTGGGCAGCAAGCCTAGAAAGAGACCTTTGAGAGACACTTAAGATCCCACCATTACAGAGGGTCTGGGAGCCTGACACTGTGCGTGTCTACAGAGCCCCAGGACTGTTAGTGCTGCCAGAGTGCAGGACCTGCTTTAGCAGGGAGGCTTTAGAATGTTCTGTAATGAGAGGCAAAATAAATTGGAGTGGAGGAGCCCTGGAGACTGAGTCAGGGGGCATTGCTGTGCCTAACAAGTGCCAAGCAGGTCTGAACGGGCAGCGGTGGCTGTAAGTCAGAGGGTGGAGCACCTGGCGGCCACTTTGCAGAGCTTGGCAGCTGTCTTATGCAGGGTGAAGAAGAGTGAGGCCCATTCTGACAGACTCTAAGGAAGACCCCAGGTCTGGGTGTGGGGTGGAGTGCCCGTCCCTTCCCAACACTTACCGCTTGTCACCCTGAACGTCTTATAGTTTCTCAGAGTTTCCAGGCTGTTGGGCTTGTGACCTGTAGCCCCTTCTGCAAGAAAAACTGACGTCTGTGTCTATCTTGTCACCAGAATAACTCCAAACCACTCTTAGGTCTCAAATCGAGTGTTACCTTCTCCAAAGAGTCCTTCCTGGTACCTTCCCCGACGCCTGCTTCTTGGCTGGGTTAGATATCTTGCTTATGTGTTTCTGTGACATCTTGTCAGACTTTGTATCAAATTGTGAGTCTAGTAACATACCTGTCACTGACTGGGAGTTCTGGAGAGTGCAAATCATCATTTTTCAGGTTTGTTGACCCTACCATCCAGACAGAAAAGAGACACAGCAAATGTACAGTAGGTGTCAGATGAATGAATGGCTGGATGAGTCAGGAGGAACTATTAAGCTTGTTTTGTTTTGTTTTGTTTGGCTGTGATGGCAATGACTTCTGTTTTTTGTCATTATTGACAAGATAGCAAAGTAGAAAGTTGAGAAATTTAATTTAATTTAATTTAATTTAGCTTGATATGTTGTAACTTTGAGGTTCAGAATGCTCAGAAGATGTCCAACAAGTAAGAGCTTTAGAGAATAACTTAGAAGAAAGTTCGCTACTGGCCACAGTGACTTAGGAGTCCTAGGAATGAATGTGACAAGTATGAATATGGAAGAGGATCAGATAAAGATAGAAAGAAGGACAGAGAGACAGGCAGAGCCGGGGACAAAGGGCAAGAGAAATTAGCACAGAAGGAGATCTGCAAAGAGAATCAGAGCCAACAGGCAAACAGAGACAGACTGAAGATAATTTTATTCTTCAATTTTGAAGCTCTTCTGTGATGTCCACCATGAGGCACATTACTGGGTTGTGCGTTGCACCGTGAGGGTGATGTTAGTCATGAAGGGCTCCTGGAGCATTTCAGACACTAAAGGAAAGAAATTTGAGATGCCCAGTCCTAGACTTCTGTGTGACATCAGGATTTAGAAATCAACTTCACATCCATATGACAAAGGATGCTCTATTCCCATCCAGCTGTCTGCCTGGGAAGAATCCCATTCATTGATTGTAGATGAATGTTAAGCTTGGCCCCAATCTTCTGCCTTGTGCCTCCCAAACCACTTGATAACATTACCTAATCCTCCCCCTCTTTTCTCTTCCCCTTCTTTGACAGATACGCATTATACAGGTTTGTGAGCACATGCACACACACACTACCACCAGCACCACAACCACCGCCACTGCTACTAGTTACTGCGTCACTGATCAGGTAGCCAGCATGTGTTTCAGAATTACAAGACTTTTTAAGCTAGCAGGACATTCCATGCTTCAAATCTGACCCTCAACATTTAATCAAGAGCACAAAATTTAACAGAAATAAATATCCCACTATGGGCTGGTATGTACCCCTCAAATCTTAACATGGTTGGCATCTCGAAGGCCTTCAGAAAGAATGACCACATCTGGACTTTTCTTCCCTTGTTGCCCAGTGCAGTATTAAACAGACTTCTATTGTGTTTTCTCCATTCAGTTCAATTAGAGGGTGACATTTTGCCCTCAAATTCATATGCATAGTTGCTCTTAGAGACTTTTAGGGCTGCATTCCTAACAAAATCAGACTTCTGTTTTATCTGAAACAACCCCCCAAAGAAAATCATTGGATATGAATGAACAGAACAATTCTTTATGTCCCTGGGAGACAGGCAGACAAAACTCAACTAAACTGAAGAAAGAAGGAGACATGGCGATGATTTGTTTTTCATAATTACTTATTCAAACTAGAAAGGAACAGGGGAAGAAGGTTCCTTTTAACATGTCTGGACGTGACAGATGAGGTGTGCTCGTCACGGATATGCAGGAGAGAAGAATACAGTGCCGTCTTGTTGAAGGAGATACTCCACGCCGAACAGAGATATATTTCTATCTGGAATGCTGCAGATAAACACCCGGCATTTTGCTCCTCAGATTCATTATGCTTTAAGTTCCTCACGGTTTTTTCAGACTGGCGGGTGATGTGACTAGCATGCATGATACTCTCCTTTTCCATGTCCTGTGGTGAAACAGTCCCCTTTCCAGACGTAAAATAAGTATATCCCAAAAATGTTTCCTCAAAACTAACAATGCCCCCAGAATGTGTATGGGATGGACGTGGAAATCATGAAAAAATACAAAAAACTGCATCATCTCTAAGTTCACTTCACCCTACTTGTAACCACTTTGATGCAAAATTTGCTCAAGCCTAATTTTAGCAAGAAGACAAGGGAAAAGAGGAAATACTAATTTGGCTTTATTTTTTCACTTAATAAAACAAACAAAATTTTTCATCCTAAAATAGTTTTTTCTGATAGAAAAGTTGAATGCAAAAGATTCTGATTTGAGTTATAGAAGTAATAAATCAAATCAGTGATTTTTTTTTTTTAAAGAAACTAACAATACAGTTTTTTTTTGTTTTTGTTTTTTGTTTTTTTTTTGTGTGTGTGTGTGGTTTTTCTCCGGTACCGGGAACCGAACTCACGACCTTGCGCTTGCCAGGCAGGCGCTTTTGCCGCTGAGCTAAATCTCCAGCCCCACAATACAGTTTTTAACCTGTCTGATTAAGGGAGTATTTAATGTATTCATGAATTATTTTCTCAGACAATCATGAGTTCAAGGATAAAAAAAAACAACAAAAAAAATGGTTAGTGTAGGAAGTGTAAAAAAAGTGTGATGCCATAAACTTTTGTGCCTCTGTGTTACAATAATATGAGGACTAATTTGTGTCTTAAACTATGTAAATTGAATGTATTAATTGTATTTAATTATACACATTAAAATTTTGATATTTGAGAGTAACTGGAATATTATGGTCCACATCACTCATTTTATAGGAAGGAAGTGTTGACAGAAATAATTTAGTCTTAACGTCATACATATATGTGTAGTTTCTCCTGTTGCATCAGTATAATCACTCACATTTTACAGTTATTTTTTAAAATTCTGCACCTGCAATGAACTAGACACTATGAACTTAACATTACACTGTACTACTGTGAATTTGATACTCTTAGGCAAATATTCTATAAACGGGTCTTGAATAAGTAAAATATGAATAGGACATGATGCCATGCTGAAGTAATCCAGAGGTTGAACTCAAGTCATGACCCTCAGGGGACAGCATGGCCTTTTGTTTTGAGCAAAGAGTTTCCCCAAAAAAGATAGTGGCACCATTTTTCTCTGAGCTTCTGCGTTAAAAGGACTGCTAACTATCTTCCAACCTTTAAAGAATCATCAAAGGGAAGTTAGTAATCTATAGCATTTCAACCATGAAATGATTTCCTATAAATCTAACTCAACAAGTATTGATGGATGAGGAGTCGTAAAGTTCGGGTGACATAGTCTGCATCACTGGGATGTTTGAAAAGTCACTGCAGCACAGCAAAGTGTGAGTAAAACCCTGATACTGCCACTCACTGAGCGCCAGTACTTGCTCTGGGTACTTTACACAAGAATTTCCTCCAGTCCTCAAAATGACACTATGGTATGGTGCCACCACACACACAAATTAAAGACCCTGAGTGTCAAGAAGATTAGTCAGCAGAACTACGTACCAGCAGATCATACGGCTTAGATTTACAGTCATTCCAACCTGATGCCTAGTTCCATGGTTTGTTCCCAGTCTTGCCTCCCGGATCACTGTTACTAAGACTGTACACAGTTCTTCATGGTCATTCTAACTGTGGTCACATCGTAGTGTTGCCGGTCCAGCCTTGAGCATGGTTTCCCGTCTTCTTTCCTGAAGACCTCCTGGATCCCATTATTTCCCTGAGGATCCCCAGAGACAGAGTTACTTATGAAAAATTTGTGTCCTTACCTTCACATAGTTAAACTTGTGCTGCCAGTAATTTAAACATCATGTGCCGGTGGTACTCCTATGTAAGACGGCACTCGAGCACAGCGACCTGAGCATGCAAACCTTCTCTGTCCTTGGGGTTAAGGGAGTGGGCTGAAGACCATTAATATCTTAGACACTTACGCTGCCTGTCATCGTGTGTGTGTATGGAAAGCTGCTCCAATCATGATCCTACTTATATACAAGTAGACAAGAATGTTTGAAAGCCCTTTCCACACCCCGATTTTATCGGGACAGTTCCTTTCACAGAATAAGAGAGCACGTTAGAGTGTTTTAAGCAACAAGGGACAGGTTGTACAGCCAACAAGTGGAAGAGATGGGGCCAGAACCCGCAGGTCTTAAATCCTGGGCAAGTGTTCCTTCCACTCTGTCGGGCGGTTGAGAATTGCCAGCCTTCTCATCCTTTCGCTGAAAAATCACATGGCCGCGTGGTGTTATCTGGCCTATCACTGTAAATAGTTTACCATTTAGATGAGGAGGAGGAGTAAGAGAGAAAAATGTTTCTGTAAAGATTTCTGCAGCGATAGGGAAGTCCTTGGTCTGCATCCAGAGATCTTTAGCAGTTAAGGAGACTATTGTCCACAAGTTGGTGCAGGGCTTAGCCCTGGGATGGTAAGCTGCTTGGCTGCTCTTGGTCCCCCTCAAGGTCTCCGGGGGAAAAACAGGAAGCAGCGCTTAACCCTAGCAGAAGCTGGATTCCTGAGCCTGGATGAATTTCACCATCTTTAAAATGAGGGCAATAATTCCCTTTTTCCCAACTTTAAGATTTAATTTTAAGAATCCAGTGAGGAAGTCCGTGTGAAACTTTTTTGAAAATCACTGGTATCAAAGGCTACCCAAATGTAAGAGGTTATTATTAAATTGTTACTGGATCACAGAGATTCCTTGGCTCTGAACAAAACAGAATTAAAAGAATGTTTTGTAATGGAAGTTGGTGAGGGCAGGCTCTCTCTAAACCATAGCTGACTTTCCCCAGGCATTCCCACAGGTCAAACATGGGGAAAACCCTTATTCCGTGGGGCTTATATAAAATAAACTAATAGGATGAAATGTCTGGAAACACCTAGAGTAATACTTGCTATATGTCCGGCCCTTTCCCAAAATGTTCAGGAATGTATTCTACTGCTCATCAGAGAGCTTGTTGGATGATGCCAAACAGGGTAGCAGGACTTACTATTTTTTATTATTTCTGTTGTTCTGTTTATACTGCCTCCTATGATTTCACAACGAAAACAGAGCTGTTCATCAAATAACATGCCTTGTGTTCCCTCCTGTCTGAAGTCAGCTACATGGTAATAGGGGTAAGTAGTTTGGGGTGTGTTTGTGCCACCCAGTTCTCCATCACTATAGCAAATACCTACCTGAGATAACAGAAGTACAAAGAGAAAAGGCTTACTTTGGTTCACAGTCTTAGAAATTTCAGTTCACAGGAGATGCACCTGTTGCTTTTAGGCCCCTGATGTAGGTGTGCCAGGTAGCAGCGGTGGGCAGCATATGCCAGAGCAAAACCACTCACTTTTTGGAAAGGAAGGAAAAACGTTAGAGGAAAAGTCTTTGGTCCCGTAATCCTCCTTTGAGAACACACCTCCAAAGACATCCCACTAGACCCCACTCCTTAAGGGTTTTACCACTTCCTAGTAAGGTCAAACTAGGGGCCAAACCTCTAGCACATGGGCTTTTGGGAGACCCTCAAGAATGTGTGTGTGTGTGGGGGGTGGGTCAAACCCAGTACTTGCAAATGCTGCAAGAACTCTACCACTAAGCTATATTCCCAGCCCTCAGAGTCACTGAAGATCTTAAACACAGCCACGTTACACAAATATCTTGGGAATGATATAGTGATTCAGGGCCCTAAATCTATGGACTGTATCTGATTAATTTCTGCCATTCCTTGCTCTCCTGGCCCCAATCTCCCTCCTTCCCACCCCCTCATTCTGAGCTTACTGAATGACTTGCCCGTAATTTAACATGCTAGCCAACACTGGATTTAAGACACTGATTCTTTGTGTCATAATAAGCACTTATCTTAACCATATTATAACAATTATTCTCTAGATGTATATATTTGCTTCAAGTCCTTTGGGGCCTAATGAATGTTATTCAGCGCCCAGCCCTCAGCGTGCTTCCGGCTGCCCATAGCTTTACCTGCCCAGTGAAAGGCCTCAGAGCATCGCATTGAGACAGGAACTCCACGCTCTGAATGAAAGGCCAGAGCTCATTTCTTTACACAATACCTCTGGCCATGAGTTGCCTAAACCCCCATAAACCCATCGTTTCGGTTGCTGTCCTGTTCCTTCACTCTCTGCCAGCCCTCCTTAGCAGAACTCCAGGATAATATTTAGTACAATTGTGCTAACATCTTCAAACAGTGTAGTTAGGTGTTTGAAATAAAATGTGTAATTATGGCAGTGGAAAGCTGCATTTGATTCCAAACAAACCTCATGTTCTCCCAGCGGTAATTAGAGAGCAAGGTTCACAGATCAGATTTTCCCAAGAAATCCACTTCAAGTGATTCTTTCAGAGGTGTCTGTTCTTCCCGAGAGGCTACTGCAGGTGGAGATTGTAATGAAATGGTCTCACGTTGGTCCCCTTTCCAATTTTAGAGAGGTTCGCCTCTTAGAAAGACTTTCTTGGCATCTAAAAACGCAAAATATGTGCAAGCAATTAATGTTTGGAGTCTTGAATAACAATCTTTCGCTCTGTCTCTGAACAGTGGCAGCTTAGAACAGGAGGAAGAGTTACAGGCATCCACAGAAACTTGTGGATCAAAGTGTGCAGAAGCACACACTGCCTCTTACTTTTCCTCAGAGGAACTTAGAGAGATGGGAATTCCCTACAACTGTGGATAAAAACTATAAGCTGTTTTGAATAACCTCATGCTCCCTACAACTTGAACTCTACAATAATAGAAGTAAGAGAGAGATAATCAAAGATGCAAGAGTTATCCTGTTACCTGTCCTGAACTGTCCTGAATCCTCTTGAAACTATGGATTCCTGGACTGCTCTTGAAGGGTTTTGTAATCAGGCATATTTAGTTGTACCGTATTATACGGCTACAGGAAGAATCCCATTCGTCAGCAGTTTTAAACTTTGCCAAATAAAGGCTTATTGGCAAATGGCAGTGAACACTCTGATAATGACCCAACTTTAGAAAACACACACCCTGCTGTGCTGTATTCAAGCACAGTTCTATGGAAATAAAAGGGAGAGACAATGCCTGCTTTCAGACACTAGAGATCCTTTGTGTTTCAATAAAAGTCTAAATGAATGTTTTAAAAGGTTATTGCTATTTTTTCCCCATTTAGCTGGCATCACTTATAAGTCTTATTTAGACAAGGTCCTATGTTATTTTACTATTTCTTTTTGCACAAAAACTACTGTTTGATTGCATTAGATCATCAGCTTCTGGTTTTCATTAGGCAAACCTGAAATACCCTATTATTAAGATTAAACAAAAAAAACAGTTGTTTTCTCATTCTGAAACCTATTATTTTGAGGCTGCTCTGACCAAAGGAAGAAAAATCAGCTTTGTAAAACCTAACATAGAGATCCTTTAAGAGGAGCAGAACATCCTCATGGATGCTACATTTAGGTTGCTGGTCTACAGGTGGCCCCTTTTTAAAACTGAAAAGAAGAGAAGATAATTAAATTCTTTGATAATTGTAACCACTGCTCTGTTATGAAAGAACTGTCAATGGCCAAAATATATGGTGAAATATCCTGTTTCCCTATGTAACACCAGCACCCTAGTGAGCTGCTCCGTGGAATCTGCAATAAAGTAGCACATGGACCTAGTGGCTGTAAGATGTCATCTTTCCAGGTTGCTTAGGCCTAAATGATATTTTTTCAACCTGAATCTCAGACTTATATGCTAGAAAGTGGTAGATATCTCTCCAACCACACCAGCCTAACAGGGAAAAACAGTGGAGATAAATTTCACAGATCAATACTTTTCTAATTGTCCCACCATGCAAATGACAACTTTGGTCCCCTCAGCTTTCTTCTGGATGTATCAGAGATTTCGTATGGAGTCTTCCTCTTGAATTATTCTTACTGGTGCATTGTCGCTGAAGTTAGAAGTCACTTCTCTAGGAAACCTACTTAAGTGCACCAGAAAGGAATTAGGTGCCCTCCTACATGCTCGGAAATGATTATAGCTCTAACCATACTGTACTGTGATTGTCGCTGGACTCGTTGGTTTCCCACATTAGTCTATGGGCAACAAGATGCCAAGTTCCATATCTTTTCATTGTAGTGTTTTGGAAACCTGCCACACTGCATGCCGAATAAGAAGGACTTAATGAGTGTTAACTAAATGGACATCTCCGAAAGCTAGCTTTCTTAAGTCCCCAGTCACTTTTACCAGGGTGCGCTCATCTCGCTCCAATTGCTGCGATGATGGCTCTTGCTAGAACCCATAGAGGCAGCCTTGGTGATGTCTGCAGTGCCAGCACCGCTGCAGGTGTGCACGGACGTCACATGGGGACACTCAGGCTCCATGCCGACGGTGCCTCTCGGGGACGCAGAAAACTCAAACTCCAAAACTGGAGGGTGAAAGTAAACAACTACTTGTCCCGTCGGTTTTGCTCCCTTCACTTCAGGAGGGATGCTGAGGCTCCTGGTGAAATTGTGAAATACAATGCAGCACACACAGGGGGGTTTGAATGTTTGATAAATAACAAATATAACTTTTTAGTGTGAGTATACCCCAAATGGTTCATGCCCCGTATGTACACCAGAAAAGTTTTACGCCGCACTTCTGCCCAGAATTAAGCACCCCTAATGCTGTAGTGTCACCCTCTGTCCCTATGGATGTGGCCTTATTTTAAGCTTTTGAATATTGAATAACTAACAACAGAAATGTAAATTATCAACAGTGTGGTGAAATCAGGCCAAATGTTGCATGAGATGGTCTTCAGTTATATATAAAAAAGACCAGTTTATTTGAGGTTTAGATTTGACTGGGCATCCTATATTTTTATTTACTGCATCCGGCAACCTTAGTGCTAAATCAGAAGCACCAAATGGAGCCATTTGTGGAACACTGATATTGCCGGTGTTTCCCAAAATTACGTCCCTTAGGGCGGCTGCTGCCGGACTAGATGGCACCAGCCAGGTATGTCTGACCTCTCCGGTCCGCGGGCTTGTTCCACTCAGAACACCTCCTGTGCTCTAAAGGGAAGACAAGCCACCTGATCAGCGAGCTCTGAACTTGGGGTATGTCTGCCATGAGCGTCATGAGTGGTGAAAGTCCTGACTCACAGAGCAAGAAGCGGAGAGGCTGTCGCTGGCAGTGCTACCCCAGGCTGCCTCGGTTGCAGCTGAATAGCTCGTCGGCGTGAAGGAGTTCTGACTTGAAGTTAGAAACATTCAGGGAGGAGCTCCTAAGGCCTTGCTCTAAGGAGAGCCAGCGCTCACATTCTGCTCACTGTTCTGTCATCAAGACTGACTGAGGCACATCACGGCCTGCTCGGGTTGGGTGCAGGTGCCCTGTTTCAGCCCCAGCCAGAGGCAGAAATGGTGTTCGCACCACACGTACACCTCCTCTACCTAGACTGATTTTAATCCTAGAGGATTGAATAACTGACAAGAAAAATATAATTTGTCAGTAATATAGTAAAATCAGGCCAAGTCAAAATGTGAAAATTAATTGGCACTACGAGTGTAGATTTAATTTTCCTCCACTCAGTCCTGGAGTGTGTGTTTGCCACAAGTCTAATGGAATCCCTGGTGAAGCATGCTAATGCCTGGGTGCTTGTAAGAAAGCCAGAGATGATAAAGAGGGATGAAATCCTCCATGGACGCAGAAAGCAATGAACTACCTAGAGAAAGTGAGACATTATCAATGAGAAGCCTCGGCAACAATTCTCTTAGGTTTGAGACTGTTCGTTGTGAGAGTTTTCAGTAAGTCGTTCTGGTTGTCTGCAGCTTCCTTAGTTCAATAGATTTTCTTTTCTAAATACAGAATTATTCAGTCATTGCTGCCTACAGACCCAGGTCTTTATTACGTCATAGAGAGCAGATGTGGGCGGAAGGAGTGGGAACAGACAACAGAGGTGGAAATTTCGAAGGTCCTTGGTGTTTGCGTTGCTCGAGCATTTGGTATTATTTTGGCCCTTGCCATCAGCTGGTATTGCCCCGAGAAATCGAGCTTCCATGCTGTGTTTTCTGTAAAAATGCTGAAAAATAACAGTTGCTTCCAACCAAAATGATTTATGAATGAGTAAAGAGGAGCAGTAGCCCCAGAAGTCAGATTCCCTGCTGTCAAGTCACCTTTTTGCAGGGATCAAGAGTCCTGTGATTCCTCACAAAGAATAAAATGAGTTTGGAGATTTCTTACTCTCTCTTACATATCAAGAGAAAGGAACTATTATGTGTCCAATACTTGGGGTGATAACTGTTGGATATGTTTGAACAGAGATGGTGAGTAGTTAATAGTCAAAAATAGACACAACACTCTCTGGCCTTTGTTTAAAGTAGAAGTTTCCAAGGCTAAATTTCTCTTACAGCTTTTAACATGCCTGGATCAAGAGAAGCAAATCTGACTGGTTTAGGAAAATCTAAATTGACACTAGGAGTGTAAACTTCTAAACTTCTCCAATCTCTGTACAAAAGTGTGTTAGGAGGGCTGATTTGCCCCATGGTGCATTACAAATATACAGATGGAAAATAGTTTTATTAGCACATGATGGTGGCATATTTTCCTTGTAAGGGACTGTGTGTATCAGATGACTTAACCTAACCAACAAGTTGCAGAATAATTAAATAACTATTTTCTAGAAGTCACTACATGAAAAAGTGCAACCAACTATTTTTCATGTTCTTCAAAGACAAAAATATTACATTTTAGAATGTCCCGTGAAATCTCTTAGTAGCAGTTTATAGTGGAGAACAAGGTAAAGATTTCAAGTGGAGGGCGGGCACTGTAGGTCAGTAGTGGAGTGCTTGCTCACCACATGCCCAGCCCGGAGTTCAGTACGAGAGAGGGTTTGGAGATTCTCCCAACACAGTCATTTCCAAGTGAGGCTCCATTATCAAACCCAACCCACCAGCAATCACTTACCAGTTCCCCGTCTTCTCACCCTCCCCGCCTGCTGCCTGCCCATTGGGGGTAAGGAAAACAGGAAGACAACCATAAGGTCTCCCATTAGCAGCCATTAGGAGCTAGCCTTCATAGCTCAGCAGCCACCGCAATAGATTTTTCATAAATTTCCTGAGAACCCTTGTAGAACACAAGATAAAAAGCAGTCATTTCGCTCTCTTTTACAGATTGCATAAATAACACTCTACTAAGAACAGAACAAAGATCTCCTGGTCCAGGGAGAGTAATGTGAGCTCATTTGGCTGCCTGGAAATCGGCACTTGAAGAAGTTGACAAGTAACAAGTTTCAGGGACTTTGGGGAACACATAGGAGAGTCAGCACTGAAACAGGAATGCTTATATTTCTGCATTCTTTGGTGTTTTCGTTTGCTTTATTTTACCACTTCTTGGTGTTTCGTGTTGGATCACAAAAGGAGGATCTTATGTCATACAAAAGAAGAAACTTGGGTTATTTTTTAGCTTAGATATATTAAGGCCTTCTAATGGCCTTAATAATTCCAAACTGAGTACCATTTAGCATAACTGTCTCTTAACCATTCTATTCAAAATAGGAACAATAAGTGCCAGAGCCTACAGTCAAAAACACCCTGCCCTTGATGAATACTGGAATACTAGGAAGGAAATAATGAGAAGGAGAAATTATTTCATGGAAAGAGATTGCCTTTTGACATGATTAGTGTTTAAATATTAAAAGATAACAGCTTTAGAAATCAAATATTAATGAATAATTTTCAAGTTCAACTCAATTCTAATGTTATAGTTTGTTTATAATATTATTCCTTCTCCAGATGAGTAATATTAACCAGAAATACATACACTGTTTTCTGTCTCTCACACACACACACGCGCATGCGCACACACTCACACACACACACAGAGTGTATATGTAGTATATTAAAATGGAGACTGAATGGGCAGTGGGTTTGTACACAATGCAATACTTGTAATTCTTTTTCCATCTGAGAGGCAAGAAACAAAGGAATTTTGAAGATCAGATCCTGTGGGGAATGCTTTCTGGTTCCCAGTAAATATGTCAGTTCTCAGAACGCCCAGGCTAAAGTAAACTTAGACGCCTATTCACAGGCTTTGCTGAGAAGACAAAGGAATTAGATTTTCCCTAAAGATTTTCCTAAACCGGTCAGATTTGCTTCTCTTGATCCAGGCATGTTAAAAGCTGTAAGAGAAATTTAGCCTTGGAAACTTCTACTTTAAACAAAGGCCAGAGAGTGTTGTGTCTATTTTGGAAGCCTCCTCATTCCTCAGCAGTAACCACGTGCGAGGTAATTTGAATTCTGTTTCCAGTGAATAGGGCTAGTTTGAGTTCCCGCTGCAGTTGAGTAGTCTGTCTTTTATACGTAATTTCTGTGATATTGAGGATGTACGATATTTCCTTTCCTTTTAGCCCAGGTTCCACTTAAAATTTTCTGCGTGTTAGAGATCTTTACTCTGACTTGCCTGAGCTCACGCAAAGCTGCCAACGCTGAAGGGGAATTGTAGTTAGGCTTCCTTGATGGCATATTTTTAAGAACAGCAGTGGAGAAAAATAACAGGGCGCTAGTCAGATGTGAGTTTTGGCAGAGAATTCAGTCAAGCTGCTCAGGGCATCCCCAGAAATTATAAACCCTCAAACGTGTACAGGGCAGAGTCTATAAAGCAAGATACAGTTATTTTAGCGTTCACCCTATTGAGTCCAGTTCTCTTCTCTGCAAGTTGTTAGTAACATGGATTTTGATCGGAGTGAAAGGTCAGCTTTGAAGTAAGTGTAAGTTATTTACAGGAAATGAAGCAGAAAGTGGGCTTTTATGCATTTTGAAATGTCTCTATTATTCAGGAGAGAATGAACTGTGTCATCAGTCAAAAGAAAAACAGATGCCTACCTCCTCATATTGAGGTTGAATAAATACCTACCATACCAGAAATATGCTATTAACTCTGAAAGCTGAAATTCACTGAGGTCTGTTTCCCCACCTTTGCATGGGAAAGCTGGGAATAAACAACTGAACATTACGGCTCTAAGTAAATACAGAGCATTCGTAGTTTAGGGGGGAGGGGAAGAATGCCAAGATGAGATAATTGGGGTGGGTTTTCTTTCCAACTTGAGATGCTAACTACGTGATCCCAAACATTTTTAAATATTTAATTTCTTGTCAGTTGTTGTCTAAATTGACTTCAATTCATGTTTATGTAAGTATGTGTGTTACATGTATACATATAAGTACATCTGCCAGGAGGAAGTGGGAAATTAAAACAGTTAGTGTGGCTCAGTCTACAGGGAGAAAGAGAAAGAAGAGAAACCTGATGGTGAGGAAGAAGGAATATGTAGAAAAGTTCAACTTACCATACAGATTTTTATTTAGTACACTCTGGACATCCTCAATGATGTGTTCATGGGCAAGTCCTAGATTCCCTCCTAGTCTGCCTCAGATAGCTGATTCCTAGGTGTGTTTCAACATCACATGGGAGTTTACTGGGATCTCAGGGCAGGACTACCGTGTTGGTTCTCATTTAGTGGGTTTAGTTACCAAAGTTTAGTTCAACTGCAATTCAGTTCAACACAAATCTATTAAGTACCTACTGTGTCCCAGGCTTTTAACTGGTTGCAGACAGTCTACAATTCAATATAATCTGTAAGGTGTACTGTTGCTGCTGTTAGTGTTGTTAAAATAATTCCTCTGCTCTAATGGGCAAAGAAGTAACAGAACGGTAAAATGCATACAAGCCCCTGGCTTACACGGCACCTTGTCTGATGTCTTCAGGGACCACCTGAGATCAGATGAGCCCAGCGGGTTTAATTTGTGAAAGGAACCAGAGGCAGGTGATTCTCCAAGGCCCCGTGCCAGAGGAGGCCAGGAAAATGCCACTGCCGTTCCGGCACCGGGTCAGAAAAGCCTGGGTGATGTGCCGTGCGTTCTCTGCCCTCCCCACCCTGCCCTGGACCCCAGCAAAGGCCTCGTGTTGTAAAGGACGGGTGCTCTGACTCCCAGGCACGTGTCAGTGCTAGGAGTTAAGAATATAACCCTGAACAAAAAGCCAGAAGAGTCTCTCCTCCAGCGACACCATTGACATGCCAATTTGCAAAAAAAATTGCTGCACAAATTATAAGGAAAGCTGACCTTTACATAAGTACTATTTGGTTATCTTTCTGTCTTTCAGTTTTCTTTATATTCCTAGCATAACAATCCCATGAAATTGTTACCAAAGTTTGAAAAAAGAAATAAATAGTAAAAATTGAAAAGACTTGGGTTAGAGTTTCACTTTTGCCACCTCGTACCTGAGTGAATTTAAGAAAATCAACATTATTAAAT